GTTCGCACTTTGTCATCCAGTTTTAACCCAGCAATCAGAGAAGTTTTTTGCTGTAGCAAAATGTAGGAGAATGATTGCTTAATTACAGGTGTAAAAGAGCTGAACGTTGCGGGATCGTTAGAGCACATGCGTGACCAGCGCCCGGGAATGGTGCAGACAAGTGAGCAGTACAAAATGGTCTTCGTCTGTTTAGCAGAAGAAATCACGGCATTCGTGGCTGCACTGCCTCGATAATCCATCGAGGTAGCGAAATGAATTGGACTGCTTGAAATCATGCATCGAAGAATTCCAGCACCACGAAACACATATACTGCGAGATTTTTGTTGCCATTAGCCGAAAAAATCAATTCAGCTTGTTGATTATTATTATTATTAATATTAATATTTGTATTTCGGAGAGAGTGTAATCTCGCTTCATCGCTGACTTGTAATGTGAACCGCGCTGACACACCCAACAGTAATAAAGCAAAGCCCAGTTGTGACCCAACACAACCAGTACACATAAGTGCAACACATGCACGTGTTCTCTCGCTTTGCATGCAACAAGAGATCTCTTTTTGCTAGTTTTGTTAGAGAATAAGCAGAATTCCTTCTTGCCAAATCAACACTTTTTCAAAAATTTTTCTCAGATCAATCCACTCCTCGTCTCTTCGAAAAGCTCGTCTCCAACGGATCCTGCTTTCTTCCATCCGTTTCTTCTAAACTGCTCTAATGCTCTTCCTTCCTTTGGCTTGGAGTTTTTTGGCTTTTGTTGACCTCAAGAAGTCAAGTTAACATCAGAGGATGCCTCCGATGACGTTCCCACCAGTAGTGACCTTGCAGAGTTTTGGGACAATACTTACGAAAGAAGCCTCGTAACAGCATGCAGTGAAGCCAGCCTATGCTGCAAGCGCATGCCTAATGTGTTTCAACGAAGAAAGCCTTCGCATGCTGAGATACCAATGAGAGAGACCGCATCTTCGTGCATCTAGACTAGCTGCTGCTCAAACATGCCATCACATGCATTATTCAGTCTTTATGTGGCAAGGAGAGAAGGACAAGGGTGAGGTGGCAAGGAAGAAAGGGCGGTAGGTGTCTTCGCGTTGTATAAATCGAGGCTTTTTCTGGATAGGAACAGCAGTTCAGGAGACCGTCGTGATTGTACGTTCTTGTGACAAGCTTTTCTTGGCACAAATTGGGTGAAATTTCACGACATACTACATATAGTGTTACATACATGTATGTAGTTTCCCACGATGATCTTAGGTGTATGAAAATACCAAAATTTCGCATTCATGACTTAATTGATCCTATGCTGGCAAGCATGGCACAGGGGGTTAGTGCAGTTGTGCAGCATTTCGAATATTCGATTCTTCCAGTGGGAGTACTAAACCCTCTACGATCCGTTTTGAAGGTAAATTATACTGGACATATGGTAGGAAGTCAAACCCACCTTCAGCTTGCTTGCAAGCAACCCTTAGAAGAGGAAGTCATCGAAAGTCTTGCCAGCAGGTGGTTGCTGCTGGTATTTTCTACTACTCGGCCTATTTCCAAGTGTCTCCGCCCCTCACTGAGAGCGAAGTAGATGGGGGAGGGGGGGTGGAGGGGGGGGGGAAGTGGGAGGAGTGGTTGTCTTTTGAATTGACTTGGTCCTAAAGTTATGGTCTGAGCATATATTTCAGGATGCAAACATGGGTCAGGAACAGTGGGGCCTAAAAACTGTTATCGGGTGATTCATCCAGCCAGCGTGCTGGAAGGAAGGATGCTTGTAAAGTTTTTGCTTTAAGTTCGTTACGAAGTCATTAACTAACTTCAGATTTGAAATGTGGTCCT